CAATGCTCAATGTAATTACTGCCTATACGCCAGCCAACAGCCATACTGACTACCCCCTCCCCCTAAGTGGATTTTGTATTAAATAACAAAACCAGGCCCCGTATGCTGTTATACTACATACAAAAACTAAATCCTAATAACATAAAAGTATGATGAGACCCCAACAGGTCCATAGTCAGCATTTGCCAAGGGGCATCCAATTTTGGCCTATAATCACTTGAAACTGCTCAAAATGGTGAAGCTGTATGGTTTTGAAAGAATTTTTGGCCAGAGAGGCTGACTACGGACCTGCCTCATTTATAGTCCTAACCTTCATGGGACTGCCATCCAAGGACTGAATTAAAATGAATAAATCAGAGTAGACTGGAAGACAAGTTTATTTATCTTTTTGAATGTCTTGTAACAAATTTTTGATGGAGCCAATAATGCTTCAGAGTATAGGCCCTCGACATTATGTATTATGTATTTCATTTAAAACAAAGAAGAAATTGACCTAAAGAATTTATAGTCTTACTATAGTGTATATAAGTATTATGGTACGGATGTGTTAATTAATATTTTAAAATAAATAAATATGCCACACCTTTAACAAACATGCCCCATGTAATACCATATGTGCATAACTTGTCAATAATCTTAATTAAGATTGAAGATGATTAATTAATAAAAATCTTAAAATACACAAAGAGTGCATGTAATTAATTAATTAATTGTGTAACCCTTGTACAATGTGTTCACCTGAATAGTATATAAAGGCCACCAAAAATGAAGAAGTCATAGTTCCATTGAGCGTTCAATCTACAATTATGTTAACTTTAGCAGTTTTCGTCGCAGGACTCGCAGCAGTGATGGCTGAGGGATATGGATGTAAGTACAATATATTAAACTTAAAAGTTATTGATCACACCTCATATTTCATACAAGGCATTAACATGACAAAATGACACCACCTAGTTGCTCACAATATTATGAGTTCAATCTTAAGTCAGATTTGAATTTCTGAGAACTAGTTGATTTTGAGTATAAAATTGGTCAATTTAACCCTTTCACGACGATAGGCTCCATATGGAGCCCTATTATGTAATACCTTTCAGGACGATAGGCTCCTTTTGGCACCATTATTTTTATCTATATACATCAATGAAATGACAATATCTCCAGTTCTATTCAGTATTTTTACACCAAATTTTGACAAGTTGTTCTAATGTGATAATCCTTACTAAAAATTGTATTTCAGTGATAAAATTCAGGGTATAGGTCCCGGGGCGTAGGTATTTTGCAGTTTTCCCCTAAAAACTGCTCTTACTTATCCGTCACCAGAGCCAACATTTTCCTCTTATATTCATGTCGGGAAAGGGTTAAGCAAGATGGAAAAATACCTTTTTGACCTTGAGAATGCCATTGAAAGTCAAATCTATAGTTAGATTTGAACTGTTGAGAACTTGTAGATGATTTTGATAAAAAAAATTGGTCAATTTGAAGCAAGTTGTAAATAGACCTTTTAGACTTTTTTGACCTTGAGAAGGTCATTGAAGGTCAAATCTCAAATCTAAAGTCAGATTTGATTTTTTGATAACTTGTAGATGATTTTGAAAAAAAAAAATTGTTTGAAACTTATTTATTTTAAAGTTTTGTAACAGGTCATCACCCAGTGATGCTGACATATATAAATTGGTACAATCTAATCATATAACATTTTCAACTGTTATTTAACAATTTATAAAATATAAATGTCAACGCAAAAATCAGGAGAAATACCCGGGAACAGTTCTGATACTGGATTTGATACAGGATTTTGGCTGATACAGGTTATGATACAGTATTCTGTCTGATACGGGATCTGATACTGGATTTCAGCCGATACAAGATCTGATATAGGATCTTTTGAATATAAATTCTATTGTCTGTTAATTTTTCAGAGAATTTCAGGGAAAACATGTTATTATGGAATAATTATATATATATTTCCCTCGAGATAAACCCTCATAAAATAACTTTTTTATTCTAGCCCGATGCTTTGACTGCAACTATGCCCCATCAGGCTACAGCTACCAGTCTGACTACTGGAAGCGATCCACCACAGCTGGGTATGAGGGATGTGCCCTAGCTAACTATGATGATGCTGATAACCTCGACAAATGGACCTGCAAATCTGGAAGGTGCTTCATCCGTAGGGACAAGAATGGACGTAAGTTGTCTTAATGTGTAACTACAGTGATGACATTTACTTTTAACACATCTTACATGTTTTTAATTGTGTAAACCAAGGTTATACATGTATGGATATGGGTTTGATGAGACCTGGGTTGGGATGATATCATAAGGGACTGAGATGAACTCAGATTAAGAGGGCCAAGGCTGATGACAACGAGGGGTTAATCTGACTTTAGGCTACCTTGACCGAGATTTTATTCGATCAATTGTATTGACTATCATGTCACCACCAGAAGTGTTGATATATCATAATTGTTTTTAAATATTGATTTGCCATTAATTCCCAACCACTTTTGCAGTTGTATACAGAGGATGTGCTGATGAGGAAAACCTCCCCCTTGGTGTCAACTCTTACAGTGGCTGCCAGTATGTTGCTGGATCCCAGTGGTATTTCTGCAAGGGAGATCTCTGCAACAAGGGACAGATTGGAGACTACGGACATTGTGACTACAAGCCATCATACCGATCCCACAGCTACAGTAAGTACAGCATACAAGGCATTAACATGACAAAATGTCACCACCTAGTTGCTCACAACATAATTAGTTCAATCTAAAGTCAGATTGGAATATCTGAGAACTTGTAGATGATTTTGAAAAAAATTGGTCAATTTGAAGCAAGTTGAAAAAAGACCTTTTTGACCTTGAGAAGGTCATTGAAGGTCAAATATATTTTGACCTTGAGAATGCCCTTGGAGGTCGAATCTATAGTCAGATTTGAACTTTTGAGAACTTGTAGATGATTTTGAAAAAAATGGTCAATTTGAAGCAAGTTGAAAAAATACACTTTTGACCTTTCTTTGACCTTGGGAAGGTCACTGAAGGTCAAATCTTAGTTCTAAAGTCAAATTTGAACAGTTCATGTATAATTAACTATCATAGCTTCAAAAAAAGATTATATAACTTTATATATCTATTATATACTTTATATATATGACTTAAATATTATTGCAATACATGTGGTCTCACTTTTATTTTAGACCCATGTGACGGCAAATGCTACGGCAACCCCAGTGGACTCTTCAAGGACAACTACAACCCATACGGGTTCATCCAGTGTGGATGTGACTACAAATACGATGCCTACAGCAAGACCAGCAAGGCCTGTATCTGCTGCAAGCCCCTCCATGTCAAATGCCCCAAGGGAACAGCTTTCAATGACTACGCCAAGGTCTGTGACACTGCAAGCTACACTGCCCCACATGCTGCCCCTGTCCACCATGCCCCTGTCCACCATGCCCCAGCTTACCCAAGCTACCATGCTCCAGCTTACCCAAGCTACCATTAAACCTTTGTTGTTAAGAATTTGTAGTGTTTTAATAAATCAAGAAAATGAACATTTTTGGTTTAGTCGGTTTATGCATGTTGTTTAAACAAAGGAGATTTCAGTTATTAGAATTCGCAGATTTTACTACTTACTCAAAATAATTGGACTACCCATACTGTACATTCAATACCCTATACATTTTTAAATCGTGAGATTTGCACTAATTTGATTACTGCAAGGCCATAAAAGGATGGTACATACAATCATATCATCTTTGTTCACCTTCATACAATTCGTTGATCGCCTTCATACAATTAGTGTAACATTCCTGACAATCCATATGGGGCATGTCATGCACATTATGACTTGCCTAATATAATACATGAAACACCATATAAGGAGAGCATAATACATGAAATACCATATAAGAAGAGCATAATACATGGAATACCATATAAGAAGAGCATAATACATGAAATACCATATAAGGAGAGCATAATACATGAAATACCATATATAAGAAGAACATAATACATGAAATACCATATAAGGAGAGCATAATACATGAAATACCATATAAGAAGAGCATAATACATGAAATACCATATAAGGAGAGCATAATACATGAAATACCATATATACAGGTAGCTATATGATGGGATCACTAGGGGAGGCCATTTGTACTGAAAGAAGAGTTTTCAGTATGTTTTTGTACTGAAAATTTTTTTTAAGTATATATTTGTATACTGAAAATGTACTGACTTTTTACAGTGTAAAATAAGTACTGAAAAATATACTGACTTTTTAAGGACATTTTTAAGTCTATTAAACACTAACAATTTTAAAAGGATTTAAAACAGCACGTGTATGTATGGAGGACAAAGCAAATGTCTAAAGTCATCAAGCTTGTAAGTCTAGTGTTGATAATATACAATTGTTGGCCTCTCCAGAGGTCAACCGGCAAAATTGTATACCGAGACTGTAAACCAAGAAACTACTGTTGACAGAGACCGAAGGTCGAGGTCAACAGTAGTTTCAAGGTTTACAGTCGAGGTATATGATTTTGACAGTTGACCGAATGGAGAGGTCTACAATTGTTTTGTTAGTACGAAGAAACTACAGTAATAATGCACATATACAGTATATAGACGACAATCATCAATCGGCATGGCTTCATTTCACAATCTTTTCTCCGAACCACGCCAACAATATTTTTTAGGAAATCTGAAGGCAGTTGAAGCTAAACTCTCTGTTTTCGACACATCACTGGGTACTCATTAGTAAATTAATGTTAATTTTACGTTTCTATTTGTATTTTTGTATGTAAAGTCAAAATATCAATTTCATCAACATTTACAAAATGTCCGTCTGCCATGTTTTATCTGTAGACATTATGACGTCATAAAACTTTTTTCAAAATTAGCGGTCAACAGTACCCAGTAGCGGTCAACAGTACATATTGTTGACCGCTAATCAACCAATCAGAATCGGGTATTTCAGTTGAGGTACTAACAACATACCTTGTAAGTGCACCAGCATGCAAAGTCAACATCCCAGTCATGTAGCTGTAACTCTATGTTGCCAACAGCATGGGCGAGGTCAAAGCCAACATAACAGCCCTACAAGGAAACAACTTTATATTGAATCTTTTTTCATGTAATATATATCTACAGGCAATGTACATGTGGTAATATTCACTGTGATTCTATGTTGCAATTAAAAAGGAAAAAACTTCGGTGCAATTATACTCCAGCTTAAAGTTAAAAACATTTATTCGGTAAAAATTTAGCATCTGTACAATTACATTTTTTTTTTCAACGTTTGCCTTAGCATTTCCTCAGGTAAAGCGTTTTGGTTTTATTTCCTCCTTTATAAAATTAAAAGCCAACTTACTTTTTCATGGCCAGCTTTAGTAATAGCAGGCATATCAAACACTTGTCCCGTGTAGTACTGTATCCCACTGAATAATACACAGGCTATCTCATCCCCCTCTGAGGCAATACGAGCTAAGATGTCTTCTGTGCGCAGTATGTGTTCACCCTACAACATGTATTGATACACATACATGTACCCTAGACACAAATATGGGAATATTTTAACCAAATGGTTCAATTCAATTACTGTAAACTACTTGACATATATAATACATGAGATGAATTGAAGGAAAATTTTAATTTAAAAGATGAGGTAGAAACTGAGTAGGGCTGGATATATCCAAAAATTGATGACTCGGCAATTCTCATTTCTCCGAAAAGAAACTAGATTTATATGGTTTACGGGGCTTGTTTAAAATATACATGTATTGTATACTGTATAGGTCTTACCTCTCTAGGTTCAAGGCATACCATACTGGTTGCAGGGTCATATCCATGTAAACGAATTTGTGATTCAATGGCATACTGTAAATAAAATATACAAATATGTAAATTATACATTATCATATCATTGTACCACATAGCCACTGAGCAGAGTTCGCAAGGACATCTCCCTGCTCGCTAATGATGGTGAACAAGGGCGAACCATGAAAAGAATGGCTGCAATGCAGTGGTAATAATCTATAGTATAAAACTAGAAGAATTAGATCACAGCAATGCCAAAGTGTAGCAAATCCCAATGAACAGCTGCCATTTTTACAAAATTCTACAACTTTTTCAGTTATAGCAAAACTCCTTAAATAACACCCATAAAGATGGCCATCATTTTCAAAATAGTCACTCACTAGCCAAATAAATCAGCACTAAAATGGCTGCCATTTTTAGACAAGTGGCCATTTTGAAAATCGGAATGGAATATAATGCCAGTATCAACTCCTCCCATCAGATGAGCTTAGATCAGAAAATTGACACAGTAACAAATCATGTTTCTAGTTCTTTTTCTATTTTCTAGTACAAAAACAAAAGGATGTGAAACGTATCGAAACAAGGCATTAACATGCAAAATGTACCACCTGTCATTTGTTACAGATGCCAAACGTCAACCACTGACCACCAAATGCCTAAAAACATCCACAAAAAAAGTTGGAGACTATAACAATATGTCACCACTTGTGATGGTGACATGATAATAATGTATGGTCTCAGTATATATAATTGAAAATGTAAGTTTATGGGGAGGTATACAATCTTACGAGTACATCTCTAGAAGGATGACTTTAACCTTTACAATTATGTACTTACATGGTCAGAAGGGAATGCTCTGCTTTCAAGTAGCACTTTGTGTCGTTTAGCAGTGGGACGATAAAATGAGACCTACAAAAGAGGTAACAATGAGTCTGCTTTATCAGGATAAAGGTGTAAGGAATATGATTTTGTCAATTAAAACATCAAATCAATGTTTCACATTCAGAAAATGATGGAAAGTTTGCTTGAAATGAAAGGGGTACATGGACCAGGTAATAGGTAAAGTATGAACTATGCCTTAGCTCTCTCATTATAACTATCTAATGATTTTCTTATATAAGATCACCAGTTTGTGCACCAAATGTTGCAAGAAAATACATAGCTGTGGAACCTATAATATGCCAGGAATACTGAAGAAAGTGACAGCTTAGCAATTGGTACTTTGGTATTGTTTTAGGGGCAATGAAATAATTACTACTCACAAGTAGAAGATGAAGATTTACAGTTAAGCCATTCATGATTGCAACCTCTTCTCTTTTTGCACCTAATATAGGAACATAAAATTAATTCTAAAATCAACACATGTAGATATAATATTATGAATACATGAATGAATGTACTACATTTAAGATAGTATAAACTATTAGTGAGAAAACACTTTATAGAGCTGTTATACTTTGACTCTGTGTGGGCTCATCATTTGCCTCCGTGTGAATAATTTGGGGCAAACGGTGGGGCACAGCATGGGATACATGTTGGGCAAAACAAGTACTTTTACAGCAAAATATCATCCATCACACCAAATACAAAGATTAATTGAAAGTGTCTCCTTGAGCAGAGATATTAGCCTATAAATTTGGACTAAATATCTATAATTTGGTCTACAAATGGTATTGAAGTTATCAAAACTATAAGGCTTTAGCGCTTCTTTATCTCCCTTGAAGTTCATTCTTTGGGATAATCAAATCAAATCTTTTGACGGGGATTTAATTTGGATTTTTTGATTTTTTGAGTCTGTATGCAGGAATATGTATGTTTTGATGGTCCGAAATGGTAGAACAAGATATTGACATCATGTACGAAAAATTTCATCAACATCTGATCACTAATTAAAAAGTTATGACTGTTTGAAAATAATTGGTCAAAATTAGTCAATTTTCAGGAAATTAATTATAGTACCGATTCTAGCAATGTCGCAAATTTGCTAATTTATGGTCAAAAGAGTTAAAAAATGAATGCCCAAAATTAGCCACATCATGGCAAATGGTGAGCCCACATGGCCATGACAGGTTCTTCTACAGGTTTGAAATATTTTTTAAGAGATAAAACAAGATAAAAACAAAGGGTTAAAAGGGACCAATGCAAAAGTTCAATGTACTAGAGCTAAACTATGTTTTAATAAAGTTTCCAACTTATCAACGACCTTCTCATATCCAACCCCCCCCCCCCCCCACAAGGAATATCCCATTGTCAGATTGCTGTAATTAGGGTTACTTTATATTCTTCTATTTTAGGTATTTCTACCAAATCAGAATCAGATCTATTGGGGGTGACAAAATTACAACCAACACGTATAACTTTCCAACATTTTCCTTACATCTCAAATACAATATCTGACAAACGGTCCAAAACATTTTATCAGTTGGTGAAGTTATTTAAGTTTAAAAATGCAAAAATTAGAGAAAATGTTCAACAAATAATAAATATAAAAAAACGAATGAATTATTATAAAATCCTCAAATAAAGTATTCGCCTTGGGTATTTTTAGAAAATAAACATGACAAGGAATGATATGAGCAACTAACATTCTAAAATCAAAACATTTTTTGTATGGTTGCTTGATCTGATCTGATACTACCTTTAACTATTTGAGACAATAAGCCCCCCTCCAAACTAGCAAATATACATAATGTAGTTAATTATCCGACATCAATCTTTTGCATTGAGTCCCATGAAGCATCACATCATTGATGTCAAAGTTATTTATTACTTTAGGAATTTCAAACAATACAGAAAAAAAACAGTAATACAACTTCCTGAAAGCAAAAGTGACTAAAAGCGTTCTCACAATTATGTTAACATCAGAAAGACAAAGCAATTTTAGTAGTCCGAACAGAAATATGCATTTAGGTCAACAATGATGCTTCTGTTTGGGCTTCTGTTTGGGCTACTATGATGGTAGATCACGCCTAACCAACGACAACGTACAGTGACAAAATATACCGTCATACACTTTAGATGTACAGTGTCACTATTAACTGATTTGAAGCAAAGACAATGATGTAGGTTTGATGTAGGTTTAAAAAAATTATCTAAGGAATACATAAAGGATTTCATGTTTGATTTTGTTTTATCGAACATGACTTTTTAAAATCCTGTTTATGATATATCTGGAAAGTGCTCAATAGTTTCAATAGTTCAATCAGATTGAAATAATACTGTAATTGTTCAGTTGAATTTCAAATAGATCTGACCCCCCCGCCTGTAAGTGTTAAGAAAAATATGTTGCCTGCATTAGGGTTAACTGTGAATTGAGTAAGTTCAATGCGACAACGTACATTCGAGTTGACAACATGCACTTATGATTTTTTAAATTATAGCCAAAACATTAATACTTAATATAATAATAATAAATCTTCGACAGACCTTAATTGTTTAAAGAAACATATTCTCATAAAAATATTTGACACTCTGAGACGTCAGGGGAGGAAATGATCAAAGGAAATGAGTAATAAAACAATATTTTCCAATCGACCAATTTTATGGGTAGATTGACCACGAAAAAAATCGACCACTGTTCGAAAGTCTTTTAACGTTATTAGCAAGTTAAATGTCTTCCTAAACGAATACACATGAAATCAAACATGAAATCCTTAATGTATTCCTCAGATAATTTTTATTAGAGGTGGGATAACCAGAGGATATATAGGGGTTATGCACTGGGAGGTTTTGGATACAGGGAATATCCCGAGGGATGTACAATATATTTTCCCGAGGGACCAAAGGGACCGAGGGAAGATGTATTGTATATCCCAAGGGACATTCCATGTATCCAAACCGACCGTGCATAACTGGTGTATCTCATACTTGAGTGGGTTTAGGGTAGATATAACCTTTTCCACCTTTTTCAAATGACAAGATATTTATATTTAACATTTTCGTAATATTCTTTTTGTTCAATACAATGAAACTGTAACACTTAAACTTTAAAAATTTTAATTTTAAAATTAAAAAATTAAAACTTTTTATATTTAAACTTTTTTAAACTTTTGAAAAATTCCCGGGAGCGGGATGGATATATTATATCTGCCCGCATTTGGCCTGGAGCGGGACATATACAATATATCCTGCCCGCTCCTCAGATACGATATATTCCCAGGTGATATCTACCCCAAACCCACTCAAGTATGAGATACACAGTGGTATCACACATTTCAAGCAATCATCTAATCCACAACCATCTCAGTTTAAATAACAGAACAGTGCATGTGTTATATGCTGATGGGTGAATGGATGAAAACAGTTAGAATACAATCCTAAAACTAAATACTGGGTACAAACTTGACTGCGTTATCATTCATAAATATATATATAAAAATATCAGAGCATTATTATTACTTCAGAGGTTCCAATATACCATTAGAAAGGAACCAATGTCTCTTTATGGATCTGATGGGTTTACCCTTCAAGAGTTTTTCACCATTCTGAACACATTTTACATGATTTGGGCCATTTTTGGACCAAAATTGTCACAAGTGTACCCTCCTGGAATTTTTCAAAAAGTGAACCCTCCCTTGGCAAATCCTGGCTACGGGCCTGAACATGTATCTCAACCTTGTGATATTAATTATAAATTATGAATAATTGCTACCCTGTCAACCCTCACGCATTAGGCGCGATTGTCACGCATTTGCTGGAAAAATAGAAATCACGCATCAATTTAGCATGTATGATCAAATATCACGCAAATCACGCATTTTGTTGATCTCTTTAAAAACTGTTTTTAAAAATCGCTTTTTGTGAAATGCCGACACGGTAAAATACCGAACGGCGAAAAAAAGCAAACGCATTCCGTTCGGTCTTTGTACGCGATTGCCATTTATGTCACGCATTTGGTACAAAATATGTGTATATATCACGCATTTGTTACGAAAATATTTACACCTACTCCCCCCCCCGTTAACGGATTTGAACAGCGAGCGTGAGTGAGCTGGAAAAATCTTAGGTGTCCAAAATCCTACCAGTGTTCACTGAAGCTGTCCAAAGTTTGAAGGAAGGTGTGTTCAACATTTAGAAGTCACTGAGCCATAATTGCAAATATTTTAGGTAGGTGTAAATATTTTCGAAACAAATGTGTGATATATACACATATTTTGTTCCAAATGCGTGACATAAACGGCAATCGCATGCAAAGACCGTTTTTTCGCCGTTTGGTTTTTTACCATGTCGGCATTTCACAACAAACGATGCGTGACAATCACGCCTAATGCGTGAGGGTTGACAGGGCAGTAATCGGCGCCCATGTCCTTATTAGCGCCCCTCCCAGACTTTTGGAGACCCGAGGGTGAGAGAATCAACGATCATTTGGGTCAAACGTAAGAAATCCAGTGGGTGATAATAGAATACTTGCTGGTTTTAGTTACTTTTTGCAGTTTTTCAAAAGGTATTGCAGCTTAAATATATGTCACTCTTTTCACCATAAGATGTATATAATGTTTGTAATTCAAGTCCATATCCATTATGACGACTACCGCTGATTTTTCCTGTAATCTAGCCATCTCGTTTCGGTATGTGTTGAAAATAGTCAGTCCCGATATGCAATCCAAAACGAGGCTGAGAAGAAATTCAGTAGGTTTATATCATTTTCTTATCGACTTGTTGATTAAAATACTGATGTACAATAATAAGTACATGTTTTATATTCCATTGGTGAAGCAAAAAGAGTAGTATAGGTAAGAACCACACAGTTCATGCAAACATGGAATCTCACGAACAAACATTTTTTTAATTTTTTTTCTAAACTGAAATTACCTGGTAACTAATATGGTATCTTTTCACATTTTTATTTTTTATTCTGCTAGCTGTTTTATGTTATTCTTCTCTCCAGAGCTAGTAATCAAGCCAAAATGTGATACAAGGATGCTGGATGCCAGCAATTATGGTCAAAGGGTCCAAATCTTTGTTTCTTGGTTATTTTCTTTATGTACCTCAAAACATGTCAAAGAATGGGATATAAAAAGCATCATTCTTTTGACATTCATTCAACTATATATACATACTAGTTTCAAACATAATTATACAACAGCATAAATGTTGGATGATACATCAAGTTTGGACCCAGTATTATTTTAAGAATTTAAAGCATTTCGATTGGTGTTGTATTCTCTTACCCACAACCTTTGCTGACAGTTCATCAACGCATTCATCAGCGAATGCCCAAGGCATTTCCCCTTTAAAATGACCATGTAGGCCGCTAGAATGTGCAAGTTTCATGACATAAATAAATAAGCATGCAAAATACCTATATTATAAGTTATTGAATGATTCTAAGTGCAATACAATATATATTCTGCTCGAGAAATACCATATTGGAACGAGACGAAGTTGAGTGCCAATACAGAATATCGAGACAGAATATATCCTGTATCACACTTCAAATCATTCAATAACGTTTTTATCATGTGATCCTCTGTATTGTTACTGAGATTGTTCCCTCCGTACCAATATTTTCTGTATTGCGACGGAGATGATCAATGGGGACAATCTCAGTAGCAATACAGATTGGAAGAGCACAAGAACTGACCAATCAGAAGGCTTCATTTTACAGATCATACGATAAAAAGTTATACATGGCAGGTACAATGCAAAGATGGCTAGGCGCAATGTAAAATATGGCTGTTAAATAAGAGTCTTAGTTACAAAACAACAAGTAGGAGGGCAAGGCCCCGGGGGTTTCACTCTTATATACCTCTTCATACCTATGTGCTGTGCCAAAGACCCCCTTTTTGAGCAATTTTTCCATGTCAATTTCCACTCAATATTGAAAGGGACTAAATTTCCTCAATATGGGTATATTGACTACAAAATCCAGTTCTCCGGTGATTTGCCCCACACCTCACCAACTGATTTAATCAATCTATTACAATTTCTTGTAGAAAAACTGATTTTTTACTTAAAAAGGATTCTCTCTTCCACAATTTTTCCATGTTTTTTCCTCTCAGATTGACCAGGTTCCATGGTTTATGCCTTAAGCCAATATTGCCCATGCTGCACATGACTACAAAACTTAGTTAGAGTGAACCCCCAGGGGCAAGGCAATAACATGCAAAATGTCACAACCTACCATTTGTTCCATATATCAAACACTAATGAACACCATCCACAAAAAAATGGAGGCTATAACAGTATGTCAAAAAAAATTAATGATTTATCTTGGAACACAAAGGTGTAATATTTGGCCACAAGAAAGTTGTTAGCTGCTTAGACTAGCTGGGTGCGCTTAAATATATGTTGCTGCAATGAACCAATATTATTACTAATCTAGGTATATACCCTATGGATTTTTATTTCCAGTTACTTTGATAAAACCATTAATCAAAGGATTTAAGCATAGGACTCTTGTTTTGACTCCTGATTTTGATGAACGAGTTATTATATATATATGTGAGAATCTTTGAATGATTGAGAGACTGCCAGGCCAGTTTATAAGGCTAGGCCTATCATACAAAAAAATTGATTTATATAAATTCTTTAAACACAGTAATATTCTTGAAAATGAATTAAAAGTCTACCTAAATATTTTGCTAGCTTTTTACAATATTGACATTTGACTTGCATAAGCATCTGTATTGGCTTTTCATCGTCAGACTATTTATATCAATTATAATTGTTTTCCCTTATTACAGTTTTCTTCTATTAACCATGTATCTATGAGAAAAAATAGCTTTACTGTATGATTGGCCAGCGAGTGACATAAAATGTCTATCTATATTAGTGAAGGTTAAAAGAACACTGAAAGCAATTATAAATCATGCATTAAACAATATATCTGAACGCATTTCAACTGACCGATTCATGTGATTACTTTAAGCACCCTCCATCCTGACGTGAAAATCTAAGAAGCATTAAAATTGTGCTAACTGCTCTATTATCTTAAACCAAAATACTGGGTGTCCACAATATAATTTATACCACAACACTTTTCTTCCCAAGGTCTTACCTACAAGATTGGCCATAGATTGTTCACATAATTCATCACATTCTTCCCAGGGCAAATCACCAACATACCGTCCAAATGTCCCCCTACATCACAGTGCACAAGATTTATCAATATGAGGTGACCTTGAGATCTTGGGGAGTTAGTTTTCTTACCCTATCTAAATCAAATAATGATTTCCAGCAACAACTAAACACTGTATGATTTCTTTTTTGACAATGCCAACAAACAGAATACCAAAACTACTGCCCAAACAAAAGACAAATTATCTCCCCCCCCCCACCCTTATCCCTTATTCAGTCCGAGAACAACCCTGAGCACATAGTGACAAAGGATATCCCAGAACAGCTTTTCTGCTAAGATTAGACACCCTCTAAATGTAATGACTTGCTCTAACTATCAATCAATGTTATCAATTTTTTTCAGGAAGATTCGTAAAATTCCATTTTGTATTGTTTAAAAACATCGACTTGTAAAAGGAAATGGCTAGTATTTTAAAATAGAAAAAAGTACATCTTGAACTTGAAAATCTGTTTGATCCAACTTTGAAATATTGACCTGACCTTTATGCACTATTCAAAGATTTGAATGTGATCCCTCAGCTGACATGGGTGGGGAATTTGATAAAAAAAACTTGTCAGATTTCTTACCATGGGGCCAAATTTTAATGAATCAATTTCCCAACCCTGGGAGCAATAAATCTTGTCAAATATTCCCCATCATTGGGCTCTGACCCCGAACTATTCATTCAGAAATACTAATAAGGGTGTAATACATTGGCATATTGAATGAGTGATTGCAGAGTTGTTCTGATATAAGTTATTAAAACTAAGGATAGGCATGTTTAGTGAGCGAGTTTGATATAGCAATGGAAGAAAAACACATTTTTCGCAAATTCTTGAATTTGAAATAAGGGTGAAACCAAGCTAGAAAAGCCAAAAAGACAAAACACTTTTTTATTATGTATGGTATCATTCTAGAATTCTCTTCCCTTTTTACAAATTATTCTCAGCAATAAAAAACAATATGTCACCATCCCACCTAGTTGCTCAAATCTGAATTTAAACTTAGATTTGTAACCTATAGATGCTTTTGAAAAATAAATTGGTCAATTTAAAGCATGTTGAAAAAATACCTTTTGACCTTTTTTGACCTTGAGAAGGCCATTGAAGGTCAAATCTCAAATCCCAAATCTGAAGTCAGATTGAACTTCTGAGAACTTGTAGATGATTTTTAAAAAAGGTTTGGTCAATATGAACCAAGTTGAAAAAAACATTTTTGATCTTTTTTGACCTTGAGAAGGTCATTGAAGGTCAAATCTCAAATCAAAAGTCAGATTTGAACTTCTGAGAACTTGCAGATGATTTAAAAAAATTGAAGTCAGTCTAAACAGTATTTATTAAGTTATTGGAAGTTGTAAGAATTTGTTACAGATGCCAACCACCAACCGCAAACCACCAACCAAAACCCGTCGTCACAAAAAAAGGAGACCATAACAATATGTCACAACTTTTTGGTGGTGACATAAAAATAAGAATAAAGGTTGTTTAATGTTGTCACGCATATTTAATTCAGTATTTTTCAATGTTACTAACTACTTCTCAATAGAATAAAATTTTTAAACTTAGGCATTATTCCTACAACAGGAGAAAAAGATTTTATATAAATCTGGCAACTAACTGTAGTTGAAATCTAAATTATGAGGTGTGTATGTGTAAAAACTAAACGTGCATGTATTATTTAGTGTGTTATCCTTACATTTTGCCCCATTTGTCCAGCTCTCTGTTGACACATTGTTTGGCTTCCTTGGGCTGCAGTCCTAGTGAATTGCCACAGAGATACACACATTCATCATCTCCCCTAATGAGACTTGGATCAACTGGGAAAGAAAATTGAAAAACATAAATATGTAAGTGTCAAGGGAGGAAAGACCATAAAGTATAATACAAAAGTTCCATGATATGATTACTATCTGTAAATGTAGTATTATGTATTTTCACTATTGAATAATATAAACCCATATGAATAGCAATACAAACTTACTATAAAGGTTTTATTTTTAAAATTTCACCTCCTTCCCTACCAAGATTCAGCCCATTACATTTATATTACTAATTTGCATGGCCTAATTCCTTCCTTCTGGGATTGATTTTCAACCTGATCAGTTTGAAGCGCTCTACTCCAGAGATATTGTTTTTCAAAATCTATCTATCTTAATAATATCTTTTTAAACTAAATACATATAGGGCCAGGGGTTTCACAAGTAAACATAAGCTTATTATCATATAATCATACAATTACTTACAGCTAGGCAAATCCTCATTTAGAGGATAGATGAACTTGTTACGGAAATGTTGCAATGGGTCATCATCATCCATTCTTTTGGCAAATTCTAAGCCAGTGAAGGATAATCCTAACTCATTTGCCCGTGCTTTTAATTTTGTTGATGGCAATGTGGAAGTGGCATCATATTTTTGAACTTTGGCAGGTGATGCTTCAATGTCATCACTTAAACTTCTTTTTTCTACAGCAGCCATTCTACTTGACTTTTCTAATTTTCAAACCGCTTAGCTGTTATTCTCCTCCTAAATAATAATAATAAAAATATATTGAATTTTATTGTCATACAATACTTGTACACCGTACAGTCAATGGACTTAATACAGGCCTGTCAACTGTCCCGCAATTTGCATATTTGTCACATATTAGCTGAAGAACGCCAGTTTTTTGCGTAACATAATACTTGTATGTCACAAATATGCCTTTTATCTGTTTCATCTGTTTTCATAAAAACTGCGTATATGTCACGTATTTGCTTCAAATCTTTTTGTCACTACAGAGATTCTCTGGAGTCTAATGTCTTAAAACCCTCTAGCTCCAGAGTCTAATAGCTTTTCCGGAGTCTAAAGTGTTTTTCCCCGAGTCTAATTTAACATTTTTTCACAATATTTGTGGTAAAACTCTTGAGAAAATACATAAAACTGGATAAAAACAAGGAATAAGAAGTCAGAAACCTTTTAGAAATAAATATTGGATTAAAATAGCAAGATAATCTTAAGTATGTTAAAAAGTATACTAATAGGATATTAATATCTGATCTCACATGGGGGATAAGTAGTCGTGATACCGCGAAAAAAGTAGTCACAATACCGCGAAAAATCCGGGGTCTAAAAATTTCCTGGTGAGAACCCTGACACTTGAATAAAATAAACAAAACACAATTAGAAATAATGTATACCGATAGATTTTACTCTTCATTTGTTCCATTAATTCATCCACATTACTCAAGAAAATACACAGTTTTAAATTTGCGATTTTACATTCAGGCAAATAAAGGCGAAATCACTGTGCTTGCAAATTTAGCATGTTTTACAGTATTTAGCAGTTTCACAGACTTTTGGTCGGTTCTCTATTAGATCCTATTAGGAGTGGCTTCAGTGTTGACATTTGCCGACAATTATTTGTCGGTCCTCTAGCGTGTCCACACGGCGAAGTCTCTCCTATTGACAATTGTCGGTACTCTAGCCTTTACGAATGAAATAATGTAGTCATGGGCACTAAGAGATATGAAATTATTTTGCATTCACAAATAAATTTTTTAGAGCACAAGGACCGAAAATAGTGGAAAATCACTCTGATTTTATCTTCATGTATTTTCTTAAGAGTTTTACTGCAAATAATGTGACAAAAATGTAAAATTAGACTCAATTAGAAACACACTTTAGACTCCAGAAAAGCTATTAGACTTTGGAACAAGAGGGTTTTAAGACATTAGACTCAGGAGAATCTCCGGATTCTAAAAGCCTAGTAAGAACCATGAGTGTTATATGCAATTATAAAACAAACGTGAAGAAAAACAAACAACACTTAAAGCCCCCTCTTATACAGACACAAACACCTTTAATCATTTCACAAACACCACAAAACATTTAAGACACGAAACTGCTATATATCAATACATTACGAATTTGGTATAGGTCCATGGTCAGGGAGGGGGGGGTTCAAGTAAATCCATCCCCCCTTGCCAAAATTCTTTCAAAATCTTACATTTTTTACCAATCTGAGCACTGTTAAGTGATTTCGGGCCAAAATGTTCAAGTGTGACCCCTTGGTTTGTTTTGAAAATTGATCCCCTGGGCTAAAACTTATTCCGAGCCTGTATTATATTGGATGTACATGTATTGCTCCGATTTCTTCTGGCAAATCGCTGATAATAAATAAGAAAGGTACATTAGGCTAGGTTAACTGATACAAGTGGTGTTAAGCCATGCTAAAACAAAATTAAAACGTGTATTCTCTCACATTTCACAATTCATGCGTTTTCTGTTATCCATATATCTGAGATATAAACTGGGGATATAAACAACAGATTAGTCCATGATGTAATACATTTGTTTCTACTACAATTGGACCATTTAAAGCTGGTTTTAATTAATTTTTTGTTTTCCATTTTCAAATGTATATTCGGTATGTTTAGTTGTTTGATAATGAAAATAAAGAAGCGGGCACATTTTATATTTATTCCTAATGTTTCATCTGACATAGCGATGATTACGCTTTGAGCAAATTGATGCATGGTAGAACAAACTGATGTAAATAACATGTTGACATACAGGACATGTATGTCAGAGCAATATGATAAGTAAAACTTTAATCCCCAATTATTCAATTGTGTTTTGTTAACACTGAAAGCTAATCTGTTTGTTGGAGGCGATGGATTGATTTTCTACAGCCAACAGTTCTAAGTTCCACAAAAAAACAAGTTTTTCATATTTATTTGATTCTATAATGTCCCTTATATTATGATTAACATTGTGTTAAAATTTGGATTAAATTGATTGACTCAACAGAAAGTTAATTTTTAATCAATGGGTTTCTTCACATTTTTACTCCATTGTTTCTCTGCCATATAAAGTTAACAACAAACAACATTTAAGCGCCACTCTTACACAGGCACAAACAACCACCTGTATTCACTCTGCCAACCACAAAAATAGTCTTGACACAGAACTGCTCAAATTTTAGCTAAAAGCATTACGCATTTTATACAGGCCCGTGCCTAACGAGTAACGATTCCCTCCCCTTGGCCAACAATTCTTTCAAAATCATGAAGAGTTTCACCATTCACATACATGTACATGTATTGATGACAGAGCAATATAAGTAATACTTTTGTTCACTGATAACTAATCCGATTGTTAGAGTTAATCCGTTTGTTAGAGTGAATGGATTAATATCTAGAGCCGATTGTTTTATTTTCAACAAAAATAATAATTTGCAAATTAAGTTTTTCATATTTGTTTTATTGTATAAAATCCCTCTTTCTATGATTAACATTGTGTTTAAATTTGGATTGAATCGATTAACTCATTGGAAAGTTAATTATTTGATTTTTATTTGATGATTTTTGCACATTTTTACTCCATTGTTAACATTAATTTAAAACAAGTTAAATTTCTTTCTTCTAAACATTTATTTGTAAATATTTTTCAAATAGAAATAGAACAGTCAAAATAAAATATGTGTGACATGTGTAAGTAATAGAGATGAGAAGGCCAGTAGAACGGTTAATCCTATTAACTGCCATGCTGTGCATTCTTTGTTTTGTTTGGTTAAGTAATTAACCAGATGGATTGTACATCAAGTTGGACGAGAATAATCGAGTATAATATTTTTTAGAACCCAAATAATACAATATAATTTGATATATTCTGCTTAGATTGGAAAATACTAGAAAATAATATTTTTTAGAATAGAAAAAAATCTAAATAGACTGCAATCATCAGTTTGGATTGATAAATATGACCAAATAATATTTTAGAAAGACAGAATAAATATAAATTGGCGCAAATAATTCTAAAAAAGAATATTATACCGGGAATAAAACATTCTGCTACATTTCTTATTGAGATAATCGGATTTGGTAAATGTTTATATGTACAAATAATATATTTGGATCTCACTTATTTCTAATTATATTATATTAATCTCTATATAATGTAGTATATTATGCTGATTATATTTTTTTCCTTCATAATATAATATAATAATTACAATACTGAATGGAAATACTGTATTATTACGCATCTTTTTACACAAATATCCGAAAATAAAACATATTTTTATATATTATTTTATCGATTTCACCAAGTGTTGTATTTGAATACATTTGTTTGTTTCAATACTGCATGCTGTGTCATAAACAATAAAACACACCCTTGGTAAACGCAGCTAACGAAAATTGACCTGTACGGGTCAAAAGCTGGACCAGTACGGGTTAACGGTTTTATTTGAATTTAAAACAGCCATAACTTGCTCAATATTGACTTCCTCGTGTCTAATTTGAAATACATGATGCCTCCCGATGCTTTTAAGTACCCCAATTTTTTACAGATTTTTAAACAGACCAACGAAAACTCTCTAAATGCGCATTTATGCTCTTTTCTCTCGAGAACGACTGTCTCATTTTCACGATAACTTTTATTTAGTACTTCTAACATATAAGATCTATTTTTCCCCATCGAGGTATGATGTAAATTAATGACATGCTATTTACATCTTGTGAGTTTCAATGACGCGGCGTTTGATTTTATAAAAAATGCCAAACTTTGTGACAAAGAATTTCATCCTGCTTGCAGCGAGAAGACGGACCGGTTCGGAGCAATAGAGATGAGATCCTACTACCAAACGATTTTGCCAACATCTGTGAGTTAAATCATCAAAACATTCAAAAACGGACGTGCTGGACAGTTTTTCGAGGTTTGCCATTTTGACCAATCAGATTCCAGATTTTGAACACTACCCACTTTTTGTACCCACTTTTTAACACTCCAGATTACTTTAATGAAGATAAGAAAGTACAGATCACTGCATACTGACTGTGCTTACCTCAGTTTACAGTAGTCTACCTCCAAAACTAAACTCCAGTCAAATGGATAGATCTAGCGCAAGCCCGCCCCTAATCACAGATCGTGTTCATGTAGGCTAACTTGTTTGTTTGTTTGTAATGCGCTAGACTAGCTGCTAAATGTCGCTAAATGGTCTTGGATTCCGAGAAACCATAATATTGGCACATTGCCGTCTAACTAAACTATATATCAATGATAGAAATTAGATTAGTTCATACAGTGACCTTCGATAGACTAGATTGGATTGGTTTGAATGTTTTCTCGTGACCTGAATCGAGGTTGAATTTGTCCATGTTCCTACGCTGTAAGCAAACAGAAGTTTGTAAAATTGCATTGGACTGGACAGTGCTCTAGGTCGTATCTACATCTACAAAACTACATGTAGAGTCAATAATCTGCAAAGGGCTATCCTTTGAGCCTACTACCAATAGAGGCTGGATCTGGCTCCGGATGGATCTGTGCTTGAAGTTGAATGTTTTCTCGTGACCTGAGGTTGAATTTATGTGTAAAATTCACGGACCAATTTTTCGTATATGTGATCGATTTTACGATGTAAAGATATAAATGCGATATAATATGTGCTGTTTTATTTAAAAAGCTTTAAAATATCAAAAACAATAGAAGATTTTTACTCACTTTAATTTTTTATACTTAGGTAGGGTCTTGAGCTTCCATTTGGCCATGATAAAGTTCACATTTCCTCTTAAATAACATGGAATAAATATTTTAACACGGAAATGGATGGATCAGCCAATAGCGTGAGTTTCATCAGATCATACACCCATAACTATATGCTTTAAAGAGGTGTTGGTAACGAAATTGGCTAATGGTGTCGCTGTGCAACCATTCCACTACATCTAAGAAACATCGGTAGGCAATATTGTCCAGTGGAAATTCACCTTTCATTAGTAGCTCCAGGAAGGCGTTGAACGTGGACAATGACCCATCCTTTGCTAACTTTTCTGCAATTATTGGAGTCATACTTTGAAGCTTGTTTATGATATCAGCTGTCACAACGTTCGGTTCATCTGCAGGTCCTTCTACCATTTCATTGTCATGAGAGTCTATTGTAATTTCAGAATCATCTATTGTCATTTCATTAGAAATTGCAATTTCATTGGTAATTTTATTTGATTTTGTAGGCGTTGAATCAGATATTTTGGATGATTTCATTCGATTATTGTCATTCACTGAAATTGTCATAAATTCATCACTTTCTACAATTATGTGTTTATTTATTGATTTCACTTCATTTGGTATTATTCCAGAGAAATTTCTTGTAATCATTCTAAATTTGCCTCTATTTTCAATAATCTTTCTCATCTTCATCTCTTCATCTTCATGGTGTTCTATAAGGTGATTTATAATGTTTTGAAATTTAACAGTTCGTAGTGAAGGACAATAGAAACATGTAAATCCAATCACTCTGAAATGCAAACATATCATTAGAATCCACATGGTAAAATCACTCACTTGGCTGATCATATTTTTTTTATAACATCCTCCTTACTCGATACTGAAGGGGAGTTGGAACGTCTGATATGCATGTAATGTTAAGTTATTAACCATAGATGATATTGGTTTTGTGATCTAAAAACAGAAAATTTTGTGAAAAATACATTTTCTTTCGACGGGTTTTTGATTTTGCTTCTTTTATCAACTCAGTTCAGGTATTTCGGTTGATTTAATCACTGAATCCTGTTACCAAATGAATCTTGAGTCTCTTATACAGCATATGGAATACCATCTGTAGGTAAAATGACTTTAAACTGGTAAAGAGAAGACAAACAAACATACCTTTCCTTCGACATTTTGGATTTTGCGCATCTTGTCGAGTCTTTGATCACCCACTTTTAATACTAGGCGATCACTGTACATACAGTGTTGACGTCCGTGGTAAAATTGCATTGCTCAGTTCTCTATGTCTATGTCAATGATCTGCAGATATATAATTTAACCATAATTTAACAGAAATAGAATTTGAACAAAATATAATTTCAACTAGAGATAGCAGGCCCGTAGCCAGAAGGGGAGCTGGGGGAGCGGAAGCTCCCCCCCCCCTGGCCAGAAATTCTTTCAAAATCATGCAGTTTTTCACCATACTGAGAATTTTTCGCATGATTTTTAGCAAAAATTGTGAAAAAGCTCCCCCCCCTGGAAAAAAGCTCCCCCCTGGTAAAAGCTGGCTACGGGCAAGGATAGTACTGTACTAATGTCCACTGGTATTACGTACAGTTAAATTATTGGTTGGTTCAGCTACAAAGAAAAATATGAAACCTCTACTTTTAATCATACAAAATACAAGCTTCTATCAATTTTGTCAAGAATAATAACATTTTCATTATCTTTTCAAATACAATTATTTCCAAAGGAGAAAGGAAAGTATCGCAGTCGGACATTCATACACTCCCCTCCATAAGTTTGGCAACCTTAGCTCCCCCATTGAACTACGTGTTAGAGCCTCTTTACCTTTGAATTTTTATTTGCAACAAGTACATGATACGACGTCAGATACTGTACATCACGGCGTAACAGTGTAATTTCATTTTACCGACAAAATGCAAAGATTTACGCGATAAATATGCGCAATGCTCCTCCAAGTATGCAAACGTTTTAATATTCGTGGAATCTTCTTAAAAACTTCAAGTTTTCTTCAGATTAATGTGTGCTTCAATACAATTCTATATTCAAAAAGGTTGTGTCACGATATACAGAATTAGAATCACCAGAAAGTAGACATTTCAAACCCTATCCGTTTTCTTCTTTGTCGCGCTTTTCGGCCCTGCGCTCTCGTTGTCGCACCGTCTTTCTAGACTCTTTCACAATGCCCCTTGTCATATTCAACTGATAAACACAGACGGGAAGATATTAAGGATTGTTAAATGCATTATTTGTAATTTATTTTAACTCGAATATTTAGTTTTATTTATTTAAAGCAATGAATAATAAAGGAGAACATATAATACGCTAACGGCGTAACGTCTTATTTTGTAAAGGCTTCACTTGGGGTTGCGGTGATAAAACGATGTATATCTCAATATAGGCTATACTGATTCAAATTAAATGAAATTAATTGTATGTAGTAAGGGGTATATTTAAAAGAACATGCTGAAACATTGGAAAGTTTTGAATGTTTATCCCTTAATTAGAAATATTTGAACTCAAAAAATGAAACGTAATTTTGTGAATTTTTCACATGGCTTCACTTCATATTTCTTTCAATTTATACTTCTTACAGACTGAATTTTAATCGAAATGATATAGTTTTTTGATAAAAATATAGAATATGATATGCCTTTCAGGAATCAAAAAAGAATAATTCACCTTTCAAACGATTTAATGTTTAATTGATCAAAATATATATTTTGTTGGTACGAAATTCTGCCTGTCGACACTTTTTTTGCATAAATATAAGCGTAAAGTTAGCATTATTATATTATGACGTCATCACACAGAATCTGTTTGTCTTTTCCAAAATGGTGAATTTAAATATTGTGAAAATTTGAGAAAGATCCGTTGGGAAATGAAAAAGTTATCTTCATTTTTCGTTTAAAATTAAAATCACTTTTCTTCAAAATGTTACAGTCGACACCCGGTTTTAGCATAGAAAGTCGCATAATACGGCTTGCGTGATTCTCATTTAAAAAATCCCAAATCAGTTATTTGGAATTCTGATAGGCAAAATATTTCATGGACATACGTGTTCAACTGATGACGAAAAATTGTAGAAAAATATGATTTTGCTGTCGAGATATTGCGGTTTTAAAAGTAAGTACGCATTAAAAATGCAGTAAAATGCCGCGATGTACAGTATCTGACGTCGTATCACATGTAGTGCAGAGGGGCCATTCAACGATCATGGACCAGTGTCAAAATATATTTAAGTTTGGATATTTCATGAAGACTAACATCTTTTTTTATTTTCTACAAAGAAACCCCCTGGATAATCAGTATTTCAGCTTATATTCCTCTTGAAACATGGTGGATCTTAAAAATATAAAAGTGGACGTCCCCTTTTTGAAGCTTTGAACTGAATTTACACTTTTTAATGCCGAAATTAATAGTTTATCCGTACATTTTAAGAAAATAGGTATGTCGAAGAAGATGTTAAGCCAACTGTTGGCTTGATAGCTCAGAAAAAGTTAAAATTTTCCTATTTTCTCTCTACAAGCCTTATTGCCCCTTTAACCTACGATGAAGATACTAATACTATTAATGGAAACGTAATTTGACTTTATTTTCAATACCTCCAAATTTTCTCAATTTTTTATCTCAATTACAATAAGTCGGAAATTGATGATAAACTTGATGAATTTGTGAAAATCGACATTCCCATGTTAACCAATGGGAAATGGTAGGTTTGCCGCAAGTCATATGACAGAATATCTATCCCTCCGAGTCCTTGCAAAAAATACGAGTTAGGCAGGCAATTGAATTTGCTAACTTTATTTAACAAAAATTGATATGTTTCTTCAGGTTCAACAAACTAATAGGGCTTTAAAGTCAAAATTGTTAAAAAAAACTCTCCCATTGAAATAACACAGGAGACGAGAAACAGAAACTATTTTCAAAAATGACTTTGAAGTTTGAAGATTCATCAAATAAACTTAACATTTAGCACAAAAAAGTTAGACAGTTCAATTTTCTATATAAAAATATTTTTTGCTGAATCTTTCACTGAAAAGATATCCTGATTTCTGATTTGCCCCGAACCCTCCATTTCCCATTGGATTACATGGGAATGACGATTTTCAAAAATTCATCAAATTTATCATCAATTGTCCACCTATTGTAATTGAGGAAAAAATTGAGAAACTTTGGAGGTATTGGAAATAAAGTAAAGTTACGTTCCCATCAATATTATAAGTTATTTCATCGCCGGTTAAGTAAATAAAAATTCAAACGTAAAGAGCCTAGGCTTTAACACGTAGTTCAATGGGGGAGCTGAGGATTTAAACAGGGGCATATCCAAGACCAATGCATAACCTCCAGGACTAAAATGACAACTAGAGATGGTAAAATAATTTCAACTTTGAGACAGGGAAGATGCAAACAACCTACCAACCGTTTTTTCTGAAATGTTGTTCTGATTTTCAACCCCTTCTACCCCTGCTTTTTCAATTTTCGTGTTTCAATATGTTGCATTTTGACACAGAGTAGACCCCTTTAAAGGAATAAGTGATTCCTTCGGGGGTTTTAAGATATCCATTATGGGTAACCAAAATTAGCTGAAAGCAATGGATCGCATGAGTTTTCCCTATGAGAAAATGACATGGGAAATATTATTTTCCACTTTATCTAAAATGAATCACTTATTCCTTTAAAGAGGTTAACTAGGTGTCAAAACACAACATAGTGATACAAGAAAAAAAATTAAAAAGCAGTGGTGGAAGGGGTTAAAAACCAGGAAAACATTTCAAAAAAACATGTGGGTGAGTTGTTTGCATCTTCCCTGTCTCAAAAGTCGAAATTATTTTACCGTCTTTAAGAGTGCTTTTCCTGGAGGTTATGCATTGGTCTTACATATGTACCTGTTTAAATCCTCATATATTTATTTAAATACGCATATATAGAGCATCGCGCGCGAAGCGAGTCGCCGAGCGAAGCGAGACCCCACAGAAATATTTTTAAAGGTGTGCTATCGATACAATGGTAAACTTTTTGAACACACTTTTCTCAAGTAAACCAGTCATCAAAACATTCTAAAAATTTTACACATCGTAAATTTAATGGTCATCTTTTGGATGGTAACATTATAATTTGAGATATATTTGTATACTTTTCTTTATATTGTTTTAGAAAACACATGAGACACTTCTTTTGTTCTTGGTATCATATGTTCGGAATGAAGTGAAACATCTATCCGAACTTCATTGGAACAAAACGACATAAACCAGGTCTCTCAATATTATAATTGTACAAAGGAAAGTTTGGTTGATTTTAAAAAAGTATTTTGTGAATTAAATAAAAGGTTGAACTTAATTTTTATCTATTTTGGGGGGTTTTGTTTTAAGTTTTTGCATACTTATTGTAAAATTAATCAAAATTTCCTTTGTATAACTCTAATATTTTGAAAGGTCTAAGAAAATGTTGTATATGCTATTTTGTTCCAACAAGGTTCGGAAGACATTTTATTTCATTCTCAAGAATTGGTAGAAAGGAACAAAAAACAATTGCACTAAAAACAAAAACAGTTATATAAAACATACAAGTTGTATATAAATATTTTTGCATTAAATTGTTGCCAATCGGTCAACATTACATAAAGGATTGTGTTTTTTACAGAATGTTTTCAGTAATTGATTTAAGAGAAAAACATTGTTGAATTCAGTTCACCATATCGATACCTATCCTTTAGACTTTCTCTGGTGCAATCTGAGCATGATATTAAATTATTATTGAATTCCTAGTAAAAATCTACACATCTGAAAATTTAATGAACAAAACATACATGTAGCTCAGGGGCGTAGCCAGCTTTCAGTCAGGGGGGGGGGGGGTGCGATCACCAAAAAAGCCAAAAAAGATTAATTTTGAATTTTACAAAAATTGATGCAACTTCCTTCAAAATTGAGCTAGAAGCTTCAAATAAAATGAGGTTTTGGAAAAAGCGTGTTTTCTGAAATGAAACCTCTTTGCAAATATTGCAAGATATTCCATTGATTTTCGCAAAGTGAGTGACAACATTACATATGTACCTCAATTATGAATGAGTCATTGGAGTTCCATGTCAAATGGTGAAAAGTAGGCTACATGCATACTCCATGAAAAGCCCCCGAGTGATGATATGTAAGAAAAGGTGCGTCATAGCCGGGTCAATTTTGGCCTAAATTGGTCAATAGCATCATTTATATGCTGTTGAGACAATGAATTTCGCTTCTCATAATTCTGTCCTTCTAAGGGGACTGAATGAATGTAAAGGATTCATATTTCATTACACTAATACACCAGTTCTTCCAATACACGCTTGTCGCAGATGCTGGGTGATCTGGGGGGGGCAGTGATTAAGGGGGGATGAATATACGCAAATTTTCCTTCAAACATTTGACACTTTTGTCATAATTTGATCATCCGATCGGATGTCAATGTCTGCGACTACCACATATTGGGAAAACTAATAGAATTACCCAAATGCGAGTAGGTAGTTACCAGTTTCACCACCAGGTGGCTGATTCGGGTCAATTAACATGGCAGGTATATAAGAAAGTTCCCTTAAACTTGAATATTATAAATTATAAGTGGCTCAATTCTCATATAACCCTTATGTGTCTAATACGTATACTAATGAAAACATGTCCAGTAAAGCAAAATATTATCTGCCCACTAAAAGAAAAGATATTTCATTCTTTGTGATTTTATAGCATGGGGCCTATGGGGAATCTCCCCGAGCTAGAAGTCACATTTTCAAAGAAAAGTAATTTTTCAAAGTTGATAAACACTTTTTAAAACCACATTTCTAGATGTAATTTTACATGTAGATTTCAAATATGATATTACTCTGACTGAATTTTGAATTTTTAATGACGTAAATCAAGATTATTTCTACTCGCATCTGGGTTATTGGTGTACCATGAACCCCTTACATTTACACAGTCCCTTATTAATGATAGAATTGTTGAGAAGTGGAATCCATTGTCTCAACAGCATATCAATGATGCTATTGACAAGTTTAGGCCATAATTGAGGGCTATGATTGATCAAAATGGTGGATATATTGAACGTCTGTTTATATAAATAAAGTTGAAAGTTTATAGAAATAAAATTTGGTTTTTGCAAGTTTTGGAAAACCCGTTTCGAAACGAAAATGAGGTCATTTATATTATGGACGCTGGTTAACATACATTATAATAAATTTGAACTTACGATATACCAAATTAAAGATAAGTAAATTCCCTATCCATTGGTATATAATATGGCATATTTTCATAAATAAAATCAATATTTATTTTTGAAATACGAGTGTCCCATTTTTAAGCCACTCTTTATTTTGCTGTGACATATGATTTTACATTTTTAAACGTTTTGGCGTCTTGACTGTATCACTTCGTTAGATCGCCCTCGGCATCAGTTGAACAGACATTGAGTTTGTTTTGGAGTAATTCTACTAATGCCAACGTGGAACAATAATGCAATGCAGCATGATTATGTTTATCCTTAATTGTTGTGTCTATCCCGTTCTCAAGCAAAATGCCTACAGTTTCAATATCATTATGTTTTGCAGCTATATGAAGCGCTGTTTGGAGTTTTGTATTTCTCGCATTAACTCGGGCGTTTTTGGTCAGTAGATACTTTGTCATGCCGATGTTATGATTTTCGACTGCATGGTGTAATGGCGTCATACCGTTCGAATCTTTAGCATTCATCTTTGCACAAAATTTCACCAAAAGCTCCACGTTTGGAATGTGACCCGCACTTGCAGCACTGTGCAACGGGGTTCTCTCATTCGCATCCCTAGCATTCACATTAGCCCCATTAGCAACCAGAGCTTGTAGGATGATTGACCGAGTTCCTCTTGCAGCCACATGTAAAGGAGAAACCCCACTTTGTGTAACGTGTCTATTCACGTTTGCACCCTGTCTTATAAGTGTCTCAATTACCTCAATGCATCTGTCAAATAATGTGTCTGCGTTTTCATTTCCTATTAACTGTTTTGTAACCCCAATTCTAGATTCAGTCCCTCTTTTAAGTACCCCAACCGGTTCGCTTTCATGACTGTCAAAATTAACTTTGTTAATTCCGTGTTTGGAAGCACACTCTACTGCTAAAAGAAGTGGGGACCTTCCAGCTTCATCGATAATATCAACAGATCCATTTCGATTCACAAGGAGTTTAATAGTATCTAAATCACAGCTGGCACTTGCAAAATGCATTGCTGTCCACCCATTATAATCAGATAGATTAATAGCGGCATTCCTTTGTGAAAGTAACTTACAGACATCCGAATGGGCATTTTTTGCAGCCAGACAAAGTGGGGAGCGTCCATCTTTATCCTGTAAATTTACTTTAGATCCATTCTCCATCAAATGTTTGGCCACCACACTGTTACCTTTATGGCAAGCATAATGCAGTGGTATTCTCGATGATGCATCTAAACTATTCACGTCGGCACCAAATGAAGTTAATACAGAACATGTAGATGCTGACCCATTTAAACCAACCAAATGTAATGGTGTTCTACCAAGGACGTCGCGCTGGTTCAAATCACCACCATTTTCAGCCAAAATTTCTGCGATTGCATTAATTCCGGTAAAGCATGAGATATGTAGTGGCGAAAATCCTTTACAACACCACGAGAAGTCAACATGCCCAGCAAAGTTTGTGCTATTTGTTGGTGACGGGCGTTTAGGCACAGTGATATTCGGGTCGGCACCATTGCATAGAAAATGATGAACGATCTCTAGATTGCCAGTTGAACATGCTGCTTGCAGGGGATTAACACCAGCGAGACCAATCGTTTCTGCTAACTGCTTTGTCTGGTGATCATTTCCATCGATTAAGGCGTATATGGCGCAATTGTCATTTTCAACAATATGGGAAATCAATCTGTTAGACCAAATATTGTTCATCATCCTTCCTCAATTCCTAAAAGTATAAAAATTACATCATATTACTGGCGGTTACTAATGTTTTAAATGGCGGTATTTGTTCATCCATTAAAAAACTATACTTAAAATACCCCGATGATATACTACACTTGAGACAAGGATGGTGTTGACCTTTTATTACCCCAATGTGTCTCAATCAATAATAGTTATATGTTATTTGAATAATTTTTACATATGTTGATCATAAAATTGTCTTTCAAGGCATATTTCAAACATGGTTTTGCAGCATGACAAAAAATATTTTGTGGATTTCATAGGTGATAATTGAGATGCCATGGGGACTCCCAGGTTTTCAATTTGAAAAGGCAATAAGTACTCTTCTATTAGACGTAATTAGCGACAAGATGAATAAGACAATTTTATAATAAAGTATTCACCATGTGTTATTAACAAGCATCATCGTTTACTAAAACGTGAGAATACACACCTGGATAGTTCTAAGCCAAAGAACGAGCTTTTCGAGCTTTAACATTTACAGAAAATAAGTTTGTATAAGTCCATCTATTGTGCAAATGACATAGTTTATGGTTTGAAATTAACATCGTTTTGCGATGCTACTATGACTTCAATCTGGTATGTAGGTAAGGTTAGGATTACAGTATACTGGCCCAGTCTTAACACACGAGTCCAGGGTCATTTTACCTTTCGGGGGAGTCTTCCTATACAAATACGAACCAATAGACTAGTATCCAACACCTCTTCTTCCTCTGTGAAGGAGAATGGATGGAGAGATGCGTATATGGACTTAATACACGACTATTTAAATTGTATTTGAACAAGATACATCATAGATTTGAATAACTTTTGTATTGAAAATAACACGTCTGTTTTGACTCACCCCTCGGTTGAAAAGGCCTAGCGCAGGGCCTCGAACTAATTCATAAGTATAATATTCCTTGGCACTCAATTAGAACATGTATCGTCTACTTCTGCATAAGTGTCATTCGTTGATTTCTCAACTTCCTGGAGACCACGAACAATAATACGAATATGGCAATAGACCTAAATACAGGATTTATTGTGTTTGTACAGTACGTAAATTTATTTTAAGTGAACAATCAATGTCAACAGGTAACGATAAAAGGTTTAGTTCAATCACCCTTTGGCTCGATGAATTATATAAATAAGTTACAAAATGGTTTATGAAAAGGAAATGGTAGCAAGAGTTTTGCAATGAAACAAACGATGAAATAAATTGCCAAAATTTTTCTCTACAAAAATAAATTGTAAAGAAAGGAAAATAGGTAATTTCAATTTTAAAATAATCAGTTTATAATTGGTTACGATGGAGATTACAATCATACTGAATTTCATGAGCATTGTGTCATTTGTTATATATAGAAATATATTCAAGAATCGAATAATGGTAATAAACGTAATTTTGAAAGCACTATTAAAACTTTAAATTTTGAAATCTGTATTTGTAAAAATGTATTTTTAAAATCTTATGGAACATGATTAAAACATAATTCATTTAAATCATTTATTTATTATTGTATTTCTGTATTGTAACAACATAAATTGAAATGTTTTTCTTTTTTCAAATAAATATCAACGATGCGTCGGAAAAAGAACTACATACTGTACCTATATTTGAAAAAAATAAAAACAAAGGAGGTTCGTTCCTGAGTTTGTTCATTGTAAAATCAAAGACGTGGCATGGATAGTTATCATTGATTAATGTGTTTTTTTACATTCAACATTCCACCAACCATTATGATTACAAGACATTAAAAAAAGGATTGGAATCAATATGGCGAACTGAATTCAACAATATTTTTCTCTTAAACCAATTATTAAAAACACTCTGTAAAAACATAGTCCTTTAACGATTTAGTCACTGATTGACAACAATTTAATGCAAAAACATATTTTTTATAAGTGTTTTTGTTAACATTTTTTGATTTTTAATGCAATTGTTTTTTGTTCCTTTCTATCAATTCTTGAGAATGAAGTAAAATATCTTTCCGAATCTTGTTGGTTGGAACAAAATAGCATATACAACATTTTCTTAGACCTCTCAATATTATAATTATACAAAGGAAGATTTGGTTGATTTAACAAACAAAAACCCCAAAATAGATAAAAATTAAAGTAAACCTTTTATTTCATAAACAAGATACTTTTTTTTAAATCAACCAAACTTTCCTTTGTACAATTACAATATTAAGAGACCTAAACACGTTGTGTATACTAGTATGTCAGTTTGTTCCAATGAGGTTCGGATAGTTGTTTCGTTCCATTCCAAACATATGATACCAAGGGCAAAAGAACTGTCTGGTGTGTTTTCTAAAACGATATAGAGATAAGTATATACAGGGTGGTCCAAAAAATGGGACACTCGTATTTCAAAAATAACGTCATTTTCATTTCAAAACGGGTTTTCCAAAACTTACAAAAACAAGTTTTGTTGTCAACTCCATTTACATAAACAAACGTTCAATATGTCCATCATTTTGAGCAATTGTACCCCTCAATTTTGGTCTAAGCTGGCCAATAGCATCATTGATATGCTGTTAAGACAATGAATTTCACTTCTCATTAATTCAATTCTGTCCTCAAGAGAATGAATAGATGTAAAGGATTCATGGTACACGAGATCTGTAAGTTCTCCCTATACGTGGTAGTCGCAGACGTTGGGTGATCGTGTGATCTGGTCTGGGGGAGGCAGCAATTAGGGGATGAATCTAGGCACATTTTCCTTTAAACATTTGACACTCTTGTGAGATCTATTGCTTGGAGCCCCATCTTGTTGGAAAATGTAATGATTCGAGAATGAGTTCATATCAGGATGGTCTAAAAACAACATAATTGGATAATCCGATGTCAACATCTGCAACTACCACGTATTGAGAGAACCTACAGAATTGGTTTACCATGAACCCCTTACATCTACTCAGTCCCTTATTAAAGATAGACTTGTTTAGAAGTGGAATTCATTGTCTCAACAGCATAGCAATGATGTTTTTGACCAGTTTAGGCCAAAATTGAGGGCTATAATTGATCAAAATGGTGGACATATTGAACGTCTGTTCGGGTATATAAAGTTGACAAAAAACTTGTTTTTTGAAAATTTCATTTATATAACGGACGCTGGTTGACAGACATTATAATAAATTTGAACTTATGATATACCAAATTATAGATAAGTGAAATCTCTATCCACTGGTTTATAATATGACATGTTTTCATCAAGAAAATCAATATTTATTTTTGAAATACGAGTTTTCCATTTTTTTGAACCAGCCTATATATTTTCAAATTAAACGGTTACCATTTAAGGATGATCACTAGATTGATGATGTGTAAAATTTTCAGAATTTTTGGGCTGGTTTAAGAGAAACATGTGTTCAATTCTGTTCGCCATATCCATACCAATCCTTTGCTGATTTTTATACCATGTAGTGTACCTGGGGACAAATGGGGGACACTCTCAGGATATCACTGACAATGATGAAGTCATAAGGCTGCAGGCATTTATAAGAAAATCAAGTCTGAGTTCCCTGAGGAAAAATCTTTTCTTCATGTTCCTGGACCTATATGGAAGAAGTGGCTCTTAAGACAAACCACATCAGTTTATTTGGACTCAGTTGACTGCAAGAAGTATCTAAGGTATCTAAACACAGTTGCTACATACTGTAATGAGTATATTGCTTCTTCTTATCTGTGCATTTTCCACAAATTATGTTTTTTTAGTGACGTCACAATAGCTACAACAAACGATTAACATGTCTATATTGCAGTCTGGAGGCGCTTCTTCTTTTAACAATGAACATATGATACTACACTGCTGTACTTTACTGTACTGATGTGCAGTGATGTGTACTGCACATCCTTGCAAAATTTCTAAAAACCAATTATAATATGAATTATTGATTAATAAATAATAATCATAATTGGATTAGAATATTAAGCACTTGGATTACATTAGGCACTTGGATTTATATCATTAAAGTTAGATAAGCATATGGTATATCCAACTAAAAATATTGTGATATATAATGAAGATATACACTAAGCACTTGGATTTATATCATTGAAGTTAGATAAGCATATATGGATGTATGGTATATCAAATTAAAAATATTGTGATATACAAATACATCCTATTGTACATGGCATTTTCTGGTTACTTCATTTCAAGATCAAAATCTCTTTTCACAAAAATCTAGTTTGCTAATAAAAAAATAAATGAGATCGTTAATGTGTTTGAGAATCAAGGATAAACAGTATATAAGGAATGGAAGATTTTGACAGGCTTCACTATTTCCTCGTAAATGAGCCATTAATTTTTCCACTCTTCAAAATACATTTCATCCCTTTCAGACCATTTTAGAAAGTTCAACACTTTAAATAATAATTTAAAATACTGCACTTTTAAATCTATCAAAATCCTGTTTTATAAAAAAAATCACCATATCCTTGCCATTTAAGATGCTTTCTTAGGTATGATAGTAATTAGCCACCGAATTAGCAATACCCAAAGTTTATTTCATATATTACAAAGAATCATTAGAATTGAAATGACATCTGCATGATAAGAAATATTTGAAAAGTAGATATCAAAATATTTCAATTAAATGTTCAAATGACATTTTTCAACTTTTTTGTGAAAGTATGAAACTAAAAAAAATAATACAGATGACTGGTTCAAAAATTCTCAATGGTTGCCTTTTGAAGGGCATTATACAAGATTTATATGCATAATGTTAATGAAACAGGTCAATTTAAGGGTATTCTAGGCATCCATTATAGACCCATAACTTTGGTGAGAAGGTTTAACAAGAACATATCTAGGACCAGCCAAGTATGCTCTACGGTTGTGCATGCACATCAATGTAACAATCGTAAAGAGTATGATCACAATGACTACCAGTGCAATAATTACAATCACCATGTAACCAGGCACATGTTTTTGGTGGTGATGGTGATGGTGTGGATGAGGTGTGCTGCTATCAAGAGTTGACTGTCCAGTGGAAGCCTCTTCCGGAATATTTACTGCCATTAGGACTTGTCCAAAGGAATGTATATTGTTGGAGTGAAAAACGGGTAATTTTTCCAATTCCATTGAGTGGTTCAATTTGTTCCTCGAGGTGTCCACCGATCGTTCTTCTGAGGAGAGACTTGATTCAAAATACTTGTTATATTCATCATAATCAAGGTGACTAATTGAGCAAATATGAGTAGCTTTGCATGCATTTCGCACACATGGTATACCAGTATCATATGACACTGCATTGTATTTATAGTACTTAGAAAAACGCTCACTTTTCCTCTTTTTAAAGCTCTGCAGCAATAAATCTAGAGATTTAGGTGATAAATCAGGAATGTTATAAGCCTTTGTGGCCTGATATTCCAGGAGCCACTCAGCCGATTTTTTTTCATTGGCTTTGGCGAGGTCCAAGTAATACTGGTGGATGTCAAGGATCTCGCCAGTGTCCCTGTTATACGTGTAGAGCCTCACGGATGGATTGTTTGGAACAGCCGTTGGAGCATAAGCGCGAAATGAAGTCACTGAAGGACCCAGAAATAGTGAACCCTTTGGAATACCTGAAAGACAAACAAACAACTTTTTCATTTCAAGTCTGACAGAAATATGGTGGCATTGACTTTAAGTGTTTATTGCTAGCTGACAAATCTATTTGGTAACATGTGTAAGTTTTAAACAATGTAAAGTGATGTTGAGAGACTAGTGAGGGTGTAAATATAAGCTGCAATAGTAAGTTCTAGCCAAAATGGTAATGCATGTAGATCAATCCACACAAAGTCCTATGAAGGACAAAATATGACAGAATGACAGAAATATGGTGGCATTGACTTTTAAGTGTTTATTGCTAGCTGACAAATCTATTTGGTAACATGTGTAAGTTTTAAACAATGTAAAAAGGATGTTGAGAGACTAGTGAGGGTGTAAATATAAGCTGCAATAGTAAGTTCTAGCCAAAATGGTAATGCATGTAGATCAATCCACACAAAGTCCTATGAAGGACAAAATATGACAGAATGACAGAAATATGGTGGCATTGACTTTTAAGTGTTTATTGCTAGCTGACAAATCTATTTGGTAACATGTGTAAGTTTTAAACAATGTAAAGTGATGTTGAGAGACTAGTGAGGGTGTAAATATAAGCTGCAATAGTAAGTTCTAGCCAAAATGGTAATGCATGTAGATCAATCCACACAAAGTCCTATGAAGGACAAAATATGACAGAATGACAGAAATATGGTGGCATTGACTTTTAAGTGTTTATTGCTAGCTGACAAATCTATTTGGTAACATGTGTAAGTTTTAAACAATGTAAAAAGGATGTTGAGAGACTAGTGAGGGTGTAAATATAAGCTGCAATAGTAAGTTCTAGCCAAAATGGTAATGCATGTAGATCAATCCACACAAAGTCCTATGAAGGACAAAATATTTACTCTAGGGGAAGATTCGAAGACAAATGCACTTTCACTATTTAAAGGCCTCATGCAATTAGTTTGAAAATATTTTTTATCATTCAAATACATCTTTATTTTTCATGAATTCATTCTGGACATTTTTGAAATATCGAATTTCCACCATTTCACAAGTGGGGTAATATATTCAGAAATGTACTAGAAACTATAAGTGCTGCTGACCATCATCTCCAAAGTATAATCTGAATGAGTCCAAGTGGATATGCCCAAACACCTGTGTGACAATAACATCAAGGTAGTCAGTCACTAAGTTGAGAAACTTTTTGTTGAAGTCAGGATAGTAGAAGGCCAAGTCTCTTACTCTCTCCATTGTTCCAGGGGGCACATGACCTATTATCATCACCTGAATAATAAAAGTACATGCATGTAAGATTTTCTATCAATGAACCTCAAATAAATAATGAACAAGGCATTAACATGCAAAATGTCACCACCTCCTATTTGTTACAGATGCTGACTGTCGAACGCCAAACACTGACCTTTGAATAGCCTTGTCCAAGTTGGAATTTTTTGCTTATCTGTTCTTGAATTATTACAGAAATCGAGATAAGTAAAAGAGACCGACTTGGGCAAGGCTAACCTCTGAACACCATCCACAAAACATTTGGAGACTACAGCAATATCTCACCACTTGTGGTGGTAAAACTAATTAAACTTATTAAAAAATGCATCATGGTGACCCCAACCCTTGATTATGAGTGCATTCATAATATTGAGTGACTTATAATGCTTTCCAATGATCAATGAGACTTTTAACATTTTCAACATGTTATTTTCTTACATTTTAATTGAAATAAGCTGTTTAAATGGCTCAGTTTTCTTAATAAACATACCTTCTCACCACTGGATTTAGCTTTTTCTAATGTTTCAGCAAGCCACTTGAATTGCCCAACTGGATCATCTATTCCTTCAGACAGTTCGTCTTGATTGTAATAGAGGGCAGTGTTTAAGCCAACAAGTCGAAGAGCTGGGTTGATAAGACGGCTATAATAACCACCTGAAATAAATAGATAAATAAAACTTTAAAGCCCTCCTCGCATATGAACGAATCCATGAAACGCAGTCTTGTGAATTGGATAAATTGTCAATTCTTGTGATTGGGAATGTAAACGTGTGACCCCGAAGCGCATCTTTGCGCATGCTTCTGAAGCCACCTGAAGCTTCCGAAAGGATACTTTTACTCAAGTCCTATTTGCCAGCACACGCAAATTGACGTTTGGGGGCTTTCATTCATATTTGAGGATTACCACACAGTCACCGAATTCTGGCTATGCCAGTACATTGAGTTACATAAAGGCAAATGAATATAAGTAAGTCAAGCTAGTAATCTATCTTTATCTATAATACAACTGTTTTCCAAAGGAAATATGAAGGAATAAAAATTGTATTGAATCATATTACATGAAAAATCGTATTTTCCCCCGGGAAAAAAATCATATTGGACAGTATTACATGAAAAAATCCTATTGTCCCCGGGAAAAATCATATTTGAGCGTATTAACCTATTTTTGGTGTCCCGGTTATATATTTTTTTTTTTTTCAAACAATGTGCATTTATTAATATAATGTTTGCATTATCCAAATGTAACATTTAAGAGGGATGTTTTATGGAATAAAAAGATTATTTCTGGTCGGGATTAAATTAATATGGGTTTCATTCCTCTGAAAATATGATATTGACCTTGGCCAATATCATATTGACACTGGGTTGCTGCGCTTCCTCGGTCAATATCATATTACCCTACGGTCAATATCATATTGTCCCTCGGAATAAAACCCATATTCAATCCCTCCCAGTAAATAACCTATATATCACCATGTAATATTGTGCAGATATTCCCGGTAACACAAATTTTATTTATCTTTTTTTGCCAAATGTAAGACTTTGCAGGAGATTAAGTTTTGGTGTACTTATATGAACAGAGATATAGGATTTCAATCAAAAAACAAAATGAAACTAGGCTAATCACGTCTGCCTGTCACTGAAGTAATATTAAAGTCCCCGTCTAAAGTTTAAAAAATATGTTTTGATAAAAAAGTTGTGAGCACTTTATTTCTCAAATTATCTTTCCCGCCATTTTTCAAAAAAAGTTGAATTTTTTAATCATCAAATATTTCTTAATGCATTTCAAAAAAGATTATCTTTTTAACACCAATGCAAAGATTGAACAAAGGACACACTATTTCAATAATAAAATGCCATATTTAATGGGCCACTTCAATGTTTTAGCATATCAAAAATATTTTGAAACATTAGTGATGTCACTAAGGTAGCAAAAACTTTTTGAAAAAAATTGAAATTTTTTTTATGTCAATCTTTTCTAAAAATGCTAGACTTCAATAATAAACCAATGTTGATTGTCTAACCAGGTTAAAAGGAAGAATATATTATCACGCCCGGTGATCGTGAATATGGGACGGAGGGGGGGAGAAGGCAATTTCTGCTAGAAAATTCAACAAATCTGGTAAAATTATTTTTTCAAGACAGAGTTTACGATTGAATTGCAAATTGAATAAGCGCACGGTATGATAAAATATGTTAGGTATTCTAGGATTATTTTTCAACCGATACTCTTTTAAGATATAAGATCTAATAAAAAAGGCGCAACGCAACCAACGTGCAAAAGTCAAAGTTTTTGCTATAAATCAAGCAACAATGGACTACACGACCTGTAATAAATACTTGTAAGTGATGTTATCATAACTAAATTAATGTCATTGCTGAATTTATAAGATAAGTTTCCATACGTAAAATAAAAAATAATCGAAAATAATTAAAATGGGACGGAGGGGGGAGGGGACGGAGGGGGGAGGGGACGGAGGGGGGGAGTAATAATTCTATAAAGTGAAACAACTTCACACGAATTCTTGTATTTGAAAAATGAACTCATTAACTTAGTAAGAAACTGGATGATATACCCCTGGAGACTGAAAAATGGGGACATTTGGAGTAAAAGGACTTAAAGTCGCGAAACATCTCTAATCATGTCTTATATACATATTGCTCCCCCCCTCCGTCCCCTCCCCCCCTCCGTCCCAAATTCATTATTTTCGATTATTTTTTATTTCACATATGGAAACTTATTTTATCAATTCAGCAATGACATTAATTTAGTTATGATAACATCACTTACAAGTATTTATTACAGGTCGTCCAGACCATTGTTGCTTGATTTATAGCAAAAACGTTGATTTGTGCCTGTTGATGGCCTTGCGCCTTTTTTAATAGATCTCATACCTTAGATGCGTATCGTTTCAGAAAAAATCCCAGAAAACCTAACATATTCTACCATACCGTGCGCCTATCCATTTAGCAATTCAATAGTAAACTTTTTCTTGAAAAAAGAAATCTTCCAGATTTGTTGAATTTCCTAGCAGAAATTGCCTGCTCCCCCCCTCCGTCCCATATTCACGATCACCGGGCGTGATTATGTTTTAGATATCATTGTACCATTGGTTTCTATGAGAACTAAAATTTTGAAATGCATTTTTCTCCGAACCATTTTCATGCACTGATAAGTTCATTTCTCGGCAAAACACATGCAAGGATGAATGCTATGCATTGGTATGAATTGTGGCTAATTAAAAGATATGTGTGACCTTCAAAAGTTAGTTTTAAATAAATTCACAAATTTTGGAACAAAAAGTCTATCAAAAACCACTTTTTGAAATTTAAAAAAAAATGTTTTCACATATCACACTTTGATAACATTGGGTAAGACTACAATATAAGTTAAAGTGATTTAAACTTTATATGGGGACTTTAATGGCTGGCTATATTTTCTGAGATTTTATTTTGCCTTATATGTTGACTAGAAGACTGTTAAAGCACACTCTATAGAATTCCCACTTCAGGGCAAACTTAAATACATAATTGACAATGATGAATCTTACAGGAAGGCCTTAATTATTTTCTTATGTAACTCTTTTGCGTAACAATGACCATGTGTTTTGTTTGTGTAACCCGATGCAACCCCAAAGAAATTTGTACTTTGGTAAGTGATATTGGGGAAAACAATTCCTTCAATTCAAGGGGATCTTCTGGGAATTCTTCAATCACTGTCAATATTGTCTAGTTAGATTCTTGCAAGATCCTTGCTTCATTTCAGCAATCTTTACTGTCATCTTTCCAATAACAATTAATAATTATTACAAAAGTAGCCTGTTATTTCATTTTGTTGAAAATAAGGCATTCTTGGCAACAAAATTTGCCACACATGAAATTCAAAAGGAACTTTTGACTTCTTCCATATATGGGCAGTTATTAAAATGATAAAAAGGAGGTATATTGAATTTTCTAACAACCCTGGGTGCCATCCTGAGATATCACAGCCTTCTCTCAGTTTCCTTTCTAGAAATTCTTGTGCATTGCAGAGATGGTCTGAGTATCAGAATGCCTGGGTGCTAATTAAACAGGATACGGTATGAAGCAAATCCATCAAGTAGATGAATATTTGAGTTATTTTGTGAATGGATGGATGGACTGACTGACTAAAGGAGAGAGAGCTTCACTCTATCTTTGACAAAATGTTTGAAATAACTAGACAACAACCACGCCAAAGAGTAGAAAATCCCATCGAACAGCCATGGCTGGCATTTTTACAAAGTTTATAGCAAAAAAATGGCAGCCATTTTTCAAAATGGGCACTTCCTACAAAAAGTGTCATTAGACAAGGTGCCATGCTTATAGTATTCACATACCAAATAAGAAGAAAATCGCTTCACTGCTTTTTGAATAATAGCAAAATACGTTAATACGTTAAAATGGTGGCCATTTTTCAAAATGGCCGCCTTCTACCAAAAGTGTCATTAGACAGTGAGCCATGCTTATAGTATTTACATACCAAATATGAACAAAATCGCTCTCCTACTTTTCGAGTTATACTAGTAAAATATGTCAAAATGGCCGCCATTTTCTACCAAAAGTGCCCTAAGACAGTGTGCCATGCTTGTAGTATTCACATACCAAATATGTACAAAATCACTCAACTACTTTTCGAGTTACAGCAAAAATCGTAAAATAACGAGTAAAGGCCGCCTACAGTTATTACAGTTTTACATATTGCACTTAAATTACTGTAATATTGGCACTTAAATGGCCGCCATTTTAAATGAGCTTGTTTGACGGGATAATTACAACCACTGTAGGCTATACTAAGTGAAAAATAATCATTCCATGATTGATACTTAACACTTCATACATGTCAAACTTCATTTCACACTTTATAGAATTTAAACACACTAAACTACTTAATTGACAGTGAGTCAAGACTGTTCCAAAGAAAAAATCTTACAGGGAGGCCTCAATTATTTTATTATCAATTGTTTTTATTTTATGACTAAGATTTTTTTATTTCACCTAGGATTTTTTTCAATCTAGGTTTCACCCGACACAACCCCAAAGAAATTTGTGTGCTTAGGGTAGTGAAATCACACTTGACGTCGACAGCAACTAAATCATCAATGTAAATTTTCCCAGTAAGTAAAGACGCAATTTTCTTACAGATTGATCACAAAACAAATTTTTGTGCATGCGTATAAATGCATTTGTGCACTGCTCCCGACCTTTGAACTTAGTATACATCGATGACGAAAGTGACATTGCCTTTTCAACATGACAGTCCTTTTTTAATTTTAATGAATTTGGACATTTATGGATCTTAAATCTTCAATAATTTAAGTTTTGATCAGATTCCCTTTTTTTTCAGAAATAATACAATAAAAATTGTAAGGAAAACATTGGCATGATTTTAAATATTGCTTCCAACACTTTAAACTCCTTAACTCCTTAATTCATCACGCTTACAAACCTGATTTAAAATCTTTAACCACATCTGTATCATTGAAGGTCTTGCCCCATCCAGACTGCCTTAGGATTTTGGCATAGAACGGATCCTTCTTCTTCACAGGGAGTTGTCCATATGGAACGCTATCATGATTGCCAAGAACTGGGAAGATATCAGCATTCGGGAAATTGTATTGTATAAGATCAGTTATGTTACGAATCATCTTGTTTATCTCAAGTGATGATATTGAACCAACATGGCCAATGTTGTCCCTGAAAACAGATCAATTCAAACTATCACATTGTGACTGGAATATGGTGACTATCTTTTATTACTTGTAACTTGTGACCTAAAGATTTGCTCTGTATTACCCTTTTTCAAGTTGCATGTATTAACCTTAGTGGGGGGAATAATATAAAGTTATTAGTGAAAGTTATTGATAACTATGTCAAGGATGAATAATGTTACATGTTACATGGAGATGTCTAATCAGAGTGTAGAACTTAACATATGAGAATGTTGTTGACTTCCAGAAAGAAACCACATAAGACCAATGCATTGAGGAAATCAATCTAAATTTACAATGGAACAATAAAATAAAACATATAGCAGAGCGACCAGATATATATAGTACAAGAACATTCTGAATTTTTAAGGATTGTCACAAATGATACATCAGCTTTTGGACTAGAACAATTTGGATTAACACTGGATTTTAAAATTTCTTGTTTCCCACACTAGAGACAGCTACCGTGTGACACAAAAAATGACACCCACCCACCTAATGTTTCATAAGTTTTTTGTCTGAGGAAATTCTGAATTGTTCTTTCACACATTAAAACTACAATCCATTTGGCAACACATCAAGAACTTTCAGATGACTAGTTCACCTAGATGCACATTTATGAGCGTTACAAAAGGTGTCATTCTATTCCTTTGCTGACACAACTGGATCTTACACAAAAAATGACACCAACCTTTTTGTAACATAATTTTGGAAATAAGTTATAATGATTTTATCAATGACAACTACATCATTTTGTGTTAAATTGAATGGACTTCAATTCCCTGAAAGTACAAACTAAAATCAATAGTATTTACAAAGTTATGTTACAAAAGCTGGGTGGCATTTTTTGTGTAGAATCCATGTGTGTCTGCAAAGGAATGGATGATATTTAGAGCAAATGTTGTTACGCTCATAAATTTGATCCACTTGACCTACACACCTGAAATTTCTTGAGGTGCTTTCGCATTATGTCTACCTCAAGTGTGCCAAAGGACAAGTCTATATGTTAATTCACGAACAAGTTATGCAACATATTCGAACACAGTATTTTTACATGACAGCAGTGCATGAAATAATCAATAACGCATTTGTTGTGTTTGGTTGTTAACATGATGAGATTGAAATTGATGCTTTGCCAATACTTGATCCTTGCAAAACGATTCATTGAAAATATGTTCTTTTGGTGATTTTGTATCTTTTTAAGTGATTTTGTAGAAAATATTTTATAATTTGTGAAAAGAATCTAAGCCCGAGAGCCTTGTTTCCTAAACTTTGCATTCCCGCTGTGCAGTCATGCAAAGATTTGGAATCAACACTTAGTCCAGGGCTTAAATCCTTAAATAAGCATGGACTGTAAGTTAGCTGTTTTCAATATCTTCCAATGTATGTCAAATTAAGAACAATTTCTTGAATTTAACCCTTACAGCCTTAAAAGACCAAATATGTCTTTCAGAAAAAAAATAAAAATAAAATCAAAATTTTGACTTTGATTATCGTTTTTAGAAGTGTTTGGAAGAATTTTATGCTTATTCTTAGGTAAGCATTCAAAATTAGGAGAGATCCTAACCACAAGAGAAATTTCATTGAAGCAAGAAATACATTCAAAGAGATGGCTGAAAAAGCCCAATTAGATTACTGGAACAACCTGTTCAAAGACCTTAACACCCAGGATACTAATGATATATGGAAGGTTGTAAAAAAACACTCTACATACAATCAAGACAAAAGTATAGTGCAACCCATAATAAAAAATGACAAATCCATTGCTTTCTCTGATGAAGATATTACACAGGAAATGCTAAAACAATATGGTAAAGAATGCCTTGAAATCCAAAACAAACTACCTAATTGGTACAATGAAGTACAAGATACTGTACACAAATTCATAGAAAAAGAAAAAGCCAGAATTCAAAATGATAAATATGATTGCAATCAAGGAGACCTCAACATCCATGAGGTAAAAAAAGCTATATAAGAGGCTAAAAGTCTATCTGCCCCAAGCCCAAGAGAAAACATACAGTACATATTAGTCCAAAAAGGAGGAGAAAGGGAAGCTAAAGCGCTTCTCTTACTATTTCAAAAGAGTTGGAAAATTGCGTCGCTCCCCAGAGAGTACTGCATTGACCCCAAGGAAATGATTCCTAAACCCAACAAGCCATCCTATAATGTAACTCCCTCATACCGGCCCATTACCTTAGAATAAGTATTAGGAAACTTACTAGAAAAGGTCCAGGCAAATAGATCCAGCTGGGTAGCGATGCAATTAGATATCATTTCACCTTTCCAAGAAGCATATCTCGAACAACAGAACTGCTCACAGATACTGATGTAAGACACAGTTAGAGACCAAAAGTAAGCCGCGGATCGACTTACTAATCGTAATTCGATTTCAAAGGTCACTATTGATGAGCTGTTCACTTCTCCGTTTGAGAGCCATAAGTTTCAAAATCTAACATGGCTCTCGAAGTGAGTAAGTCAAAGGCAGACTTCTGTGTTATATTACTGAATACATTCTACACAGGAGCTATTCAATAAAATGTAACAAGTTCACAACACCCCTAAAGACCTCTACTGTTGGTATACCTCAGGGAGCTGTGATCAGCCCGCAGCTCTGTAACTCATATACGGCAGATGCTCTATGTGGTATCCAATGTCTACATGGAGAATATGCAGATGACATCATAATATGGACCTCAAATGAATCATTGGAAGAGGCCATAAAAACTGTACAAAATGATATTATATCAATACAAGATTGGTGTTCTAAATGGAATATGAGTTTCACCAACAGTAAAAAAAAAACCCTGATATTTTCACCTTCAAAAAATGACAACAACTTACCAAAAGCTATAAAGGTTGAAACAGGTGAAATTGAGGTAGTAAAAACAACCAAGATGTTAGGCGTAATGTTAGATGACAAACTAGAATTTAATGAACATATAGAGGATAGGACCAAAAAGGGATTTGCATCCCTAAAAAGAATATCAGATTTCACAAGCAATAATAAAGGATGCACTCAATCTGCTTTTGTATATCTCTATGAGACACTTGTACTACCCAATGTTGACTATGGCAGTATGGTTGCTCTTTTTTAGCCACAGTACATAGAGCTGCAGTGGAAAAGTACCAACAGGTCCACAGACTTGCACTATTGAAAGCATTGGGCTGCTACAAAACAAGCACTGATGCATTGGATGTAATCATAAACACCCAGCCTATTAGTGTGTGCCAAATTGCTTTCTAAGTGGCTTAGTTAGGCTAAACCTATGTTGTGGTAGCTTACTATGAATTGACCCATAGTCATTTTAGATTGATCTATTATCTATTCATCTTTACTTGTCTGCAGTCAAAATAGTGACACGAAAGGGCTAAACGGCTTGCACCAAGGTGCGACTGCCAAAAAGATGAGTTTGAAAAATATACATTTTTTTAAATAATACTTGTAAGTATACAAAATAAGATGCAAATTTAATATTGATGTGTAATGATAGTCCATTCGGGTGTGGTAATTTTATGAAAAACAATTATGGTAAAAAATTGGATATTTATGACCTTAAAATGCGTTTTCAATTAAAAAGTTACTGTTGTCAAGGATATTATTCCTATTTTATATAGTCAGTGTTTTTTAAATATACCAATAACCATTTCATTAGTTTTTGACAAAGTAAATAATTATAGGGCTCACACAAGGATCAACTTTGTTCATAGCATTTTCATATTAAGTGATGTTTTGAAAAAATACGAAGGTAAACTCAATTTTATTTTTTATTTGTTGAAGAAAAAACAATTATATGTTTGTTTTCTTGTTTCGACTGAAAAATCTCAATTCATCGCCCTTGCTTCGCAAGCAGGAGAGTCTACACCAGTACGAAAAAGTCTTCAAAAAGTTGATCCTTGTGTGAGCCCTACAATTATTTACTTTGTCAAAAACTTATATAATGGTTATTCGGATATATAAAAATCATTTAATAGGTAAAACAGGAATAGTATCATTGACTTTTGATTTTGAATAAAAAAGTATTACGAGCATATAGTGCATCACTTAGTTTATAGCTTGCAGACAGTGATCTAAGAGACATCATCTTGTAGTAATTGGTGTGACAGTGATGAGACGGGAATTGATTTTATTAATGTAAGTTTTGACAATCCTAGTATTGATGGTTTATCTTACGGACGTCATATTAAAAGATACCAATTTGCATTACATCAACATCAAAGAAGTTTGATTTGTTCACAGATACGTGTCAGAGTGATACCTGTAGCAGTTGCACTAGATTGATATACAACAAGATATGTGTGAGCATTCATTGCAACATTTACTTAAGAGTTATAATTTTACTAAATCTGATGGAAGATTAGATAGTTTAAGTCTATCTCTTTTGGTTTATTCAATTTGAATATTACTTTTGCAATAAAGATACTTTACTTTTGAAACATTAGCAGCAATTTCATTTCAAAAAGATCAGTTTTCAACTTCGTATATGTTTTGTTCATAAAATGTGTATTCAACATAGGTCAAAAGTCAGGGTAATTTCAAGTTTAAAATATCAATATCTAGGATAGTTGGCATTTTAAGACATTTTGCCGATGGTGTGACCCTTCACAGCCGATGATTATGTGACCTGAGGTAAAGATCAACTGAATGGGTGTAGGTAATTTCACGGTCAATATCTAGCAATTTGGTGTTTTAAGGCAATTGAGAACAATTCTGACCCTTGACAACCGATTATTAGGTGACCTGTTGTCAGGGTCAAGGTCTATAGGTCAAGATCATTTCAAGGTCATCAATATCTAAATATTTGGCGTTTTTGGGCTGAGGTTACCCTTTGTGAATCATGAATGTGTGACCTGAGGTCAAGGTTATTTCAAGATCAAATATCAGTATCTAAGTATTTGGTGTATTTAAGGCCCTGGTATCTGCTGTGGCCCCTAGCGACTCATGATAGGGTGACTTCCAAGGTCAATATCTAGCAATTTGGAGTTTAA